TCATACTCAACTGTTAACGAAGTATTTGCAAAATAACCTAAACTTCATGGTTCCGTTGAAAAATGTTTAACTTTTACAATACTTTTTAAAATAAATAAAATTTTCTACGGGAACGTTTTCACTTTTTTCAGCCTTTTTTGGCACAAAAATTTGTATGAAGTTTGACTTTGAAGTTTCACTACAAAAACACCAGTCCACTTTTGACATTAATTTCAACGACAAATGATGTAGAATTTTATATACTTTAACCGTGTGCAAAAAATTTTAACGATACTTAAAATTTAATTTTTTAATTAATCCAAGGAAACAGGGTATTCTAACCCACTGTGCGACGGACCGAGCGACCAATGCGCCAACAACTCAATGCGATGATAATTAACGAGAACAATAACAACAAAAGCACTTCAAATGCTATAATATATTTATGAAAACAATGAACAATTCAATTATTTATTTCCCTATTAAATGGAATTTTGGTATTAAAAAATGTTCAGCCAGCTCACCTTCGAAGACATGGTTACGGTTTTGTGGGAAAAGCAAATAAAAATACTTTTTTTCAATTCACTATTACATTTGTCACCAACAACAACTCAGTGATCAACAGCAACAAATTTCTAGTTTACACAATGTAAATGTATTAAAAAATAATATTTATTTTGGCTTTGCATTCATTTTTAAAAAATAATATTTTGGTCGCATTTTTTCGGATTTCGAATTTTTTTTTTTTTGATATTGCACTTCTTTTTTTTTAATAATGCACTGCAGCGCCACACATTTGTTTAAAGTCAACGACCACCAGTTGATTGTTTTGTATTATTTTTTGTTGTTGCTGCTGTTGTTGTTTCCTTTCGTTGTGGAGGAGTAGGAGGCCTCAAATAGTAGCTATTTTACACTTGTAACTTTTTTTCTCGACACAATCAACAAAAATATCAGAGAAAAAAAATAATAATAAAACGACACAGACTAAAAATACCGCACAGCACCAAAACGCCCGTCTGTGAATTAAATCTTTCAGATACTGAGATACAAGCGAACGATAACCAAGAAAAACAAAAACGCAACTGAATTAAATAAATAACAACAATCAGAGGGAGAGAGAGTTTAATTTAATCACTCTCTCGTTTTTAGTCTCTCAGAGTTGCCGTCACTTACCTTTCTTCGAAGGCAAACAACAAGCTAAAAGAATCAACAGATGGTTAATTAAGGGTTGCCTGATTGGTTTTAGTGAGTAAGGGAAATGGAAAAGGTTGGCGTTAGGGGAAATGGTTGGTTTTTAATTAACGAAAGATATTTTCTTGGAAATATATTAATAACAAAATCGATGTTGAATGGTCCTATAACTCTTAAAAATCAATGCTTAATAGACAGAGAAATATTCTTTCTTTAAAAATTCACTCTTTTTATTTTGAAAATCCTTCAAAAACATTCTGTAAAAATCCTCGCTAATAGGCCTGATAATCCATGAAAATATTCTTAAAAAAATAAATGCTCATTGGTCTTATAATCCTGTAAAAATATTCCTTAAAAAATCCACGCTTATTGATACGAAATTGCATGAAAAATATTCTTTAAAAATCGCTGGAAAAATATGCTTTAAAAATCCTTTGCTTTTTAGGCTGATAATCCTTGCAAAAATGTACTTTAGAAATATTATAATCCTTAAAAAAATAATCTTTAAAAATCAACGTTTCTTTGTAAAAATCAAAAAAAATCCACGCTTATTGGTCTGGTAATCCTTGAAGAAATATTCTTTAAAAATCCACGCTTATTGGTCTGATAATCCTTGAAGAAATATTCTTTAAAAATTCACGCTTCTTGGTCTCATAATCCTAGAAAAAATATTCTTTAAAAGTCCACGCTACTTGGTTGATAATCCTTGAAGAAATATTCTTTAAAAGTCCACGCTACTTGGTTGATAATCCTTGAAGAAATATTCTTTAAAAAGTCCACGCTACTTGGTTGATAATCCTTGAAGAAATATTCTTTAAAAATCCACGCTTATTGGTCTGATAATCCTTGAAGAAATATTCTTTAAAAATCCAGGTTCTTGAAAAAATATTCTTTAAAAAATCTAGTTAGTAGTTGGATGAGAAATAACAAACTTAGCGTAAATGTTAGTAAAACCAAGGCATTATTGTTCTCTTTATATCCTAATGTATTGGATTTAAAGTATAATGAAATTCCTATACAATTTGTTGAGGTTTTTGAGATTCAAGGAGTACTTATAGACAATAAATTAAATTTTGCAAGACATATTGATAGAGTAGTCTCTCGAGTGAACATGGCACTAAGAAGGCTTTACAATTGTGACCTTTTTCTATCTCACCATTTTAAGGTGAAAATGGCCCATGCTATTGTAATGCCGAACATCCTCTACTGTCATGAGGTATACTCTGGTGCTAACATGCATAATATGGAGCGAGTTCAAAAGGCTTTTAATAGCGTCGTCAGATATGTTTATGGTATTAACTGTTACTATCAAATTTCTTCGTTCGTTCACCGTTTTATAGGATCTTCATTTACTAATTTTGTTAATATCCGATGTCTTTCCTTATTCTATAAAATATGCAAATCTCAATGTCCCTCTTTTTTGGCGAGTTCCTTTAATTTTTCAAGATCCACTAGAAACACCAATCTAACAATTCCAAGATTGGACGTTCACATGGACAGATCATTTCTTGTTAGAGTGTCACGTTTATTCAATGCACTACCAAACAACTTATAAAGGTTTAATGTAACCATTTCATCATACCGAAATAAGCTTCTTGTCTTATTTCAAGGAGCAGCAGAATAATATTCTATGCTTTCTTTATCTACCTTAAAAAAATACTTATATTTAGAGGCAGTAATTGCCGCTGATATTATATTTTCATTTATGACCTCGCAAGCGAGGTATTAATAGGAGTAGTTCTTCCCTTGTGATGTGTCATAAGTGTATTTTTTCCTAATTACATATTATTTACTTTTATGCCATGTTCTGACGGGCATTCGAACAACGTAGTTCGCTCTCAGAATTACGTACATGAATTAACCCGTTCATACAACACTATTCTTAATTCATGTCATCAGAGTTTTTTATTTCAAACTTTTTGTTTCTATTTTTACACCAAAATTGTAACATATTTGCGTGAATCATATATGGATCTAAATAGAAAAAATAATTCTCTTTCTCCTGACTATAGTATGAACCCATATCTATTTACTTTTAATTCATGTTTTCCATTTTTTCTGAAAGTATTGTTGTTTTGAGTATATTTTCATTTTTTCTCAATTCAAATGTCACATAAAAAAATTGGAGAATTTTTTGTTTGGGTTTCCCCACATTGGTTTCTCGTTTTGTACGCTAATTAGAACCAAAGGGAAAGAAATACATATTGCATTATGTAAATTACAAAATTTACTTCCTTCTGCATATATAAAAACTCGAAAATTTTTTACTTTTCATTCATCATTTTTAATTTTACTGAAAAAGTTTGAAAATTTTACAAATATTTTCATTCTGTCAAAATTAATTTATTTTCGATAAATTCTCTCAATTGTTAGGGATGGGACAAATTTCTTGGTTATTCGGAGAGTGATTCAAATTGAACAACGTACAAAAGTCGGTGTTCGCTCAGACAATTTTGTATGGGGAACTAAGTAATTACTTCATAATTAAGGGTCGAACAACGAATGAGAGAGCGAACGACGCCCGTCTGTACATGGCATTAAGTTCTAATAATTTAAATGTTAATTTACAAATTATTATTCGAAGCATATTGTAATAATTTATTGGCCCCTTAGGCTTTTCATTACAAAATAAAGATTTAATAATAATAATAATTCAGGTCCTTAAAAAAATATTCTTTAAAATATCCAGGTCCTTGAAAAATATAATCTTTAAAAAATCCAGGTCCTTGAAAAAATATTCTTTAAAATATCCAGCTTCATGAAAAATATATTCTTTTAAAAATCCAGTTCCTTAAAAAAATTATCTTTTAAAAATCCAGGTCCTTGAAAAAATATTCTTTAAAAATCCAGGCCCTTCAAAAAAAATTCTTTAAAAAATCCAGTTCCTTGAAAAAAAATATTCTTTAAAAAACCCACATCCATTACGCCTGTAATGGTCCTTGAAAATGTATTCTTTAAAAAAATCCATGTCCTTAAAAAATATTCTTTAAAAATATATACGCCTGCAATGGTCCTTGAAAATGCATTCATTTAAAAATCCACGTCTGTAAAAAATATTCTTTAATAAAAAAAAATCCAGGTCCTTGAAAAAAAATATTCTTTAAAAAACCCACGTCCTTAAAAAATATTCTTTAAAAAATCCACGCCTGTAATGGTCCTTGAAAATTTATTCTTTAAAAAAGCCATATCTATTATTTGTTTTGTCTATTAAAAGGTGACCTCAAAATATTCTTCAAAACTGACCTCCCTCCACTCTTTAAAAAGTGGCCTTTTAAATCTATTATTTAAATAAATATCTACTTATAATGGCCTTTCAATATTTTTCATTAAACAATTTTCAAAAACTATTTCTACCAATCATTATTTGGCTCGTTACTGTTACGTTATTGATACGTTGCTACTGCGTCTATGTAACTACACATCATAAGACTTGTTGCATTCAGCTGTCAATATGCAGAGTTGCCAAATTGTTTATTTTATCTTGTTTACCTTCACCTTATAGGAAATTCTAATTTGCAATGATTAATTAAAATTGTGAAAGATAACAAAGAAAAGTGATTAAATCGAATAGAATTTATATCGCAAAACTAAAACAGATATTACAACAACAAATATTTTATAAATAAATTGAACAAATAAAATTGTCATTTGTCAAAAACGTGAAATGGCAATCGTGCCACAATAATGCAAAACATAAATAACTATCAAGCGCAATAAGACAACACAAACGCAGGAACATCACTCGGGGATTCACAACCAAAAATATAAATATTCATAATTACTATATAATATTTCGTGATATTACATAAATTACAAAAAGTGCCAGAAAAATGCCCATCGATGGTAGAGAACTTATTGAGGCCATTTCAATATTGGCCGATGAACGCAATGTCCGTGTCACCGTCAAACAATCGGGAAAGGGAGCCATCATATGCGCAGCTTGCTGTTTTGCTGGTGGAGTACTATTGGGACCTCCGGGTTTGGCGATAGGTGGTGTTGCTGGTGGTGTTACAGCATATAAAATGACCAAAGGTATGGATGGATGTGTGTTTCCAATTCGCAAAAGTTCATCAAATCAAGATTGCGATAGATGGACTTTGGATTACGTGGCGATACTAAAGATTGATAAAAATACATGACTAATGTGATCAATGTTCTTTGTAATTGTTATTATTTCTTCTTCATATTGCAGGCTCATTCCGTCCTTTGGGTGATGTGATAATCAACGATCTAAATGATACACAAAAGGAACAATTAGTACAACATGTGACAAATGCCGTCAAAGATATTCATCCCACCGATTTAGCTCTGCTATTGCCACTGATAATGAATAATCAGTCAATACAAACGGCGGTCTTGAAAACAGTTGTTAGTTTTGTATCAAGTGAATTACGTTTGCAGATCATCGATTGATCTCGATGGAAAATAAATTTAAGAGGGGCGGGAATTATTTTTCCTAAATATTATAATACATATCTCGTTTTAATTATTTTTTGTTTGTTTTTTTTTTCTTTCTAATAATAAGTAATTTATGAAATTGTATGTACATCTTATATTTCTAAGGCATGAAGATGTTGCTGTGAATAAATTAACATCATGTACCGAACAATATTTTTTATAGAAATACAATTTGTTTTGAATTTGAATATATTTTGATTTCTTAATAATGATATGTGACAGACGAGTTTAGTGACTCAGATTAGAACCAGTTTTGAGAGTATATTTTAAGATGAGTTTTGAGAGTATATTTAAGATGAGGATGAGTATTGGGTCAAATGAAAAACTAAAAACATGTGTTGTGAAAATATTGTAGGTCCTATAGTACTGATGTCTAAAAATATGAATTTATACTTATCTGATTTATGTTTGACAGCTAAGACATGTGAGTAGGAATATGTGTTTTTGTCACAGAAATGTATCAGTATTAAGAACAACATGAGGAAGTAACGCATTAACAATTTTTATAGCCTATATATGTATATATAAATTTGAAATTTGATGTAGAACAATTAATTCAGCAGTTTCCAATTCATTTGGAAAAAGTGCGAAATTTGATTAAAATAGAAAATTTGCTGTATTTAGCCAAATTAGAGATATTTTTTACAAATAATTATCGTGTTTACAATTTTTTCTTTTGTAACTAATAGTGATATTCGATGTAAAATAATTTTGTCTTTGGCGAAATACTCTTATGATATAGTCTAATTGAAAATTTTGACACATTCCTGCAAGGTGTTTAATTAACACTTACAGAAGACAACAAATACTTTGTTTGCCCATATTAATAATTTTATACTATAATTTTCTAACAAAAATATTGAATTTAAATATATAGTTTGTTTTAAGACTTACAGTGAAATTTCATGTTGAATAATTTATTCTTTGAAATTGAAAATAGTACTGGGAAATTTATATGAGAAAAATTGCTCACATTGACGTCTACATATATGTATCGTATATATGTATCGATTTCACTTGTTCAGTGACTTAAAACGACATATTGAGTGAAAAATTGGTAAAAACTAAAAAGATCGGGTTTAACCCTAAAATTAATTTTTAAGATTTTTGACGTTTAGGTTGATTTTCGAGTTTTGTTCTATTTGGAGACTTATAGTAAAACTTTATGGCGAACATTTTTGTAGAATATCCTGACTTTATATAACCCAGTCTTAAATACGTTTTCAATTATTTCTGGAAAAAAATAACACTTCAAAATATTGCTCACGTTTATATTATTAATATTGCCAAAAACACCATATACCTAAAATGTAAAGGGTTTCGAGAAATCCTAATTTGAATATTTTCAAATCTCTTGAAATGAGGGAATTTTATTCGTGTCGGTAGGTTATTGATATTACCGTAGCTATCGCAGTATTTAAGATAGAGCTTTAGAGCATTGCCATAGCTATTACTTTAACATAATTGACTGTAATTTACTATTTTGTATTCAAGTTTGGGTATTAGATCGGCCTACGAAAAATTATCAATAACACTGCATCCCAAAGTTCATTATTTTGAGGAGATCGGACAAGTGATTCAACCATATTAGCTGTATTTTTATACCCTCAGCCTTATGGCTAATGATCAATTTGATCCAAACTTTACACATCTTAATATTTCTTCCAAACTTAGTTTAAGTTCGAAGATGGTGAAATACCACACAAACATACTATCCGATTTTAACTAACCCACTATCTTTACCAAGCCTTGATCAAGTTGGAAGATGGGACAAATAGGTCCACTCCCCCACAGATATTATAAATATTTAAAAATATTTAAAAATCCAATATCAGGCTAACGAAACAAACCAAAACTTTTAGAACATATTATCTTTAACAAGCCTAGATCAATAAGAAAGATGGGAACCATTGGTTCACTCCTTCAATATTGGCTTATGTTTGGGGATAGTCGCCATATAACGGTACAGCCCAATATTCGGTATTTTGAGTTTTTTTGTACATGTTTCAACCTAATTGGCTGTAATTTTGTTATTTTGGATTGTGGTAGTTATTCGTCCTGCTACAAATTATTACTTCTGATCCAGGATTTATGGAAGCTGTAATATAACGCTATATCCCAAAGACCGGTATTTTGGGGTGTTTGGAAAAATCTGCCATATAAATGCAACCTCCATATTTCGGGTTTTGGTACGTTTTAACCGCTTTGGATCAAATTAGATTTTCATTCATTTCATTCTCCCTATTAAATATGATTAATATTGGTAATCATTTTAGGGAAACCCCCATAATACGTTACATCCCAAATTTCGGTACTTTGGGGTACTTGGACATGCGCTTCAACCAAATTAGCTGTAGTTTTTTATATTGGATTATCATTAAGTATCCGTATCCTTATTTTTGGGGGTTTTTGGTTGGGCATGCTTTTCAATCTAATTAGATACAATTTGATTTCTCAAATTCGTATCAATGTCAGTTTGGTGTAGTTTCCATAGAACGGTACCATCTCATGTTCGGGTTTTTGAAGGTATTAGCTAAATTATTCTACCCCCGTGGTGGGGGGTATAAAAATTTCGTTCCGGCTGAACTTAAGAGTTTTTACTTGTTAGTCACTTCATGTATGTTTGGTCTAATAATGTTGGCTACAACTTCATCGCAACATGTTGTAACCAACATGTCGTTGGTGTGTGTGTTCAAGATGTCTTCTGTTTCTAATCCGAACCAAAAAAGTGGAAAAATATTTCTTTTTGCTTCCATTGTTTTGTTACGGACATGTTATATGTTTTTATGTATATGTATGTGCGGATGATAACGCCATTTTGGAATTGGCGCTCTCAACATTCCCTGCTCCCCAAAATCGCATAAAGTTCTCCCTCTTAAAAATATCTTCAGAAGCAAAAAAATTGGCGACATATATTTTGTTTTGTAAGACATTTCATATGGGGAACCTTTACTCTCTTTTTATTCTCCTCTCTTTTTTCACACCTCTACCTTTGTATAAAGGTGTGCAGAGCAGTGTTGCCGAAAGTGGGCATTTATGCCCAAAAGTGGGCATAAATAATGTAAAATTTAGGACATGGGCAGATTTTGGGCATTTTTTCGTTCCCGGCATATTTATATTTTTTCTATATACCCTACACAAATATGTTATGAGAAACTTTATTGTCACAAGAGTTTGTAAAACAGCGAAATATTAGTCCAAGACTACCGATATATTTCGACTAGCTGATTCGATTTACGCATGTTTTCCCCCCGTATGTCTATTATAATTTGTATTTATGGATTAATCGCCATTTGTATTTGGTTTCGGTTGTACTCAAAGACGACTACTACACTGCGTATCATAACTATATATGAATCTTTTATTCAATTGGTATGTTAGTTGACAAATACAATTGGCCAATTAAGTTATTGTACACAATAAAATGATCAAACTCTCCCTTATTTTGAATAAGTTCAAAAATTCTGTCCATCATACTATATATCAAATTTTGTTTGCAAATTTTCATCGATTGACCGCCATTCATCAATACTCACTTCTTTGGGGTTATACACAGTTTGGTATTGGCAGTTTTCTGCATAGGCACGACGAGTCAAGATTCCCCTATGTTTTCAATCGGATTCTGGTAGGAAGTTTGAATATTTTTTTGATTTTAACCATTCTTAAGTATGGCGACTTTTATGAACTGACGAGTTGTCCTGCGGAAAAACGAGTCTTTCATTGTTGCTGCTTTCCCAAAATGGCAATAATTTGTCTTCCAAAACTTAAACGTACTCCATTGAATTCATTGCACAACTAGGAAATGCCAAATCAAAATGCTTCCATGACCATTAAGGAACCGCCACCGAAAATTTGTTGTGAGGAATATCGTGGTTCCTTCCGTAGATCTCTCCAATAACAATTTAAACCATCTGGGCCATCAAGATTGGATTTTTTCTCATGTTCAGTCGTATTTGTGTAGGGTGTTGTATGGTCAGCCCCGGTTTACTGGGGTCTATGAAACTACTCTCTAGTGCCAAAGTGGAACATTTTTTATTATATTGTGGCCGATAATTGCCCTAAATTTATATTAAGAATAAGTATTAGGGCTTCTCATGTTTAGACCATACAGTATTTACCATTCGCTTTATATAAGGTATATGTTTTTTTTTTCAAAGGGTTATGCCCTAGAGGCCACATATTCGGATTTAATTCAGATTTGGTAAGATATTACGATGTACAATCAATGCATGAAATCCATGTTTACAACCTTTTAAAATGTTGACTCTGGAACATTGACCCGTGGGTTCCCATCTTCGAACTTGATATAGTTTTGTAAAAGTAGGTGGAAAGATTCCGTTCAACTGATATTGGATGAAACAATTTTAAAAATTTTGTCGCTTTGTGGGGAGGTACCGGAAGGAGTGGCTCGATGTTCTCCATATTCAAACTTCATATAAACATTAATATGTGCTAAGTTTGGATGAAATCTGTTACTTCTTTCGAAAGATATCGTGCGCGCCAGTCATCCAGACAGAATCGGATTTGGTCCAAAGACACATGGAGTCTAAATGAATATTTCGATGAGGAAATTTTGCCTCAACAAAGTACAAATTTTTAAATTAAATACGTTAGGAAACTATTTAAAAATAAATATCAATTTCCCATATTTCCATCCTGCAAAACAGTTTACTTTTCAGCGCTTAAAAAAATATTAAACAAAAAGGACTTTCGCTTTTAATATTTGTATTTTTTTACGTTTAAATTTTTGGGCATACATTGTTGATTTTGGGCACTTTTTAGGAGGAATTTTGGGCGGAAATAAAATGTTCAAACGGCAACACTGGTGCAGAGAGAAATGCTCGGAAAGTAAATGAGAAACTGCTATTTGGAACGATTTACTAAAAGAGCGCGCATGACGCCATTTTGAAATTCACACTCTCATTGCTCCCCAAATCCCATAAAGCTATCCCTCTCAAAAATATCAAGTTTTTTATGCGCCGGGTAATTAGTATTGTAGGGGTAATGTGACCATTTTCGAATGGGAAAAAATTGCGCCTTTTTATTTTCGAATAAATGTTAGGGATATTCCTTTTGCACGGTCTTAATCCCAAGGATCATTGTGAAATACAAGATCAAACTGTGGCAATCAGTTTGGTGTCGGACTTTAAAATGAACGGATGTGTCGCGGAAAATACAAAACAGCTTCAAATGAAAAAAAACATCTAAAAAATTGAAACCAATATTAAACTAGCAATTTGTGATTTTTAACACTTTATTAATCCTGAATAAAAGTTATAGGGTGAGTTAATAAATATTGAAAATTATTCGCATTTTATATAGCTAAAAGTGTACGTTCATTTTTGTTCTATGCTACTGTGTTGCGTTTTATTAAAATATTGTGTGTGTGTGTGTTTGCAATTTATTTCGCAGGTTGCCTGACATAAAAGCTTTCATTATAAGGTTTTACGACAAAAAATGTAGATTTTGTGGAATCTATTTCTAGGTGGAGACTTTTAAAATCCGAATAGCGAATTTATGAATGTTCACCACTCTGTGGTGTTTATTTTAAAGCATACGGTTTAAATCTAGACTATATTATTAGCGAAGACATGAGGATATTACACAGATTTCCATAGATATCGCCACTTTATTTTACCATTCACCACACTGTGGTACAGGGTAGTTTAATTGGAGAAAAACGGTTTAGATTTAGATAAAAACTTCCATATATACTTTTTCTTCCGATTATATGTAAATGGTGAACCAAACTCACAAAATATGTTCGATGGAGACATAGTTTTTCAAAGCTGAATTGAGTCTAGGGTGACATGTGTTAAGTTTCTTTAAAATCGGTTCAAGTTTTTATATAGGTCCCATATACATTTTCATCCGATTTTTATAACCTTCACCACGATATAGACCCATGGTTCCTTTTGAGAACATGCAAGTGCAGGTCCCATTTATTATTCGAATGGGATTAAATTTGACACAGCTCATGCATTTGGCCCAAGGACGAACCCTATTAAAATTGGCGATATATATTCTCGCCCGATTTTAAGTAAATGATACAATTACGTTGAATCATTAAAATATCTCAGATTGAAAAACGATTATTTGTAGAGAAAGTAGATACTTGGTCATCTCCACCTATAAAACAGTAAGGAAAGTTCAAAAGTCGGACTATATGATACCCTTCACCACATTGGGTACATACAAGAGATGATAATGTGAACAATATCCTGTTGATATAAGAGACATAGCATCTTTGGATGACCACTGACATGTAATCGGGTAAAAAAACAAATATGATATACATAGATATTTTACCAATAAAAAATCATACCCATGCCATTCTGAAATCAATTTCAACAAAAGTTCACATGCATCAAACTGGACTTAATTCAGTATGCTGTGTAAAATTTTGTCTCAATCGGACAAATATTGGGAGTTTGATGCACCAATTACCTAAAATCGGATGAACATATATATGGGAGCTATATCTAAATCTTGACCGATTTCAAGAAAAACTTCATAGATGTCACACTGGACTAAATTCCGTACGCTGTGGAAAATTTTGTCCCAATCCGGCAATATTTTCAGTTTTGTGCACCATTTACCTAAAACCGGACGAAACTATATATGGGAGCCATATTTAAATCTGAACCGAATTCAACAAAACTTGGCACATATTAATCTAGACCTAATTCAGTACTCTGTGCAATTTTGTCTCAATCGGACCAATATTGACAGTATGGCGCTCAATTTACATAAAATCGGTCAAAACTATATATGGGAGCTATATATAAATCAGAACCGATTTCATCAAAACTTGGCATATATCAATCTAGACCTAATTCAATACTATGTGTTAAATTTTGTCTCAATAGGATCAATATTAAGAGTTTGATGCTCTATTTACAAAAAATCGTACGAAAATATATATGTGGGAGCTATATCTAAATCTGAACCGGATACGTCAATATAGACCTAATTTAGTACTCTGTGTAAAATGTTGTCTCAGTTGGACCAATATTGACAGTATGATGCTCTATTTACATAAAATCGGACGAAACTGTATATGAGAGCTATACCTAAATCTTAACCGATTTTAACAAAACATGACACATATCAATCTAGTCCTAATTCAGTACTATGTGCAAAATTTTGTCTCAATCGGAACCGATTTTCTCCAATTTCAATAGGGTTTGTCCTTGGGCCAATTAAGTGACATGTGCCAAATTTCATTCAAATCGGATCATAAATGCGACCTGTACTTGGTTCACAAAAATACATGGATGGTCAGACGGACATGTTTAAATCGACTTAGAAAATGATTCTATGCATATTCTCAAAAGAAACCATGGGTCTATCTCAATTCCTTTTGCCTGTTACAAACATATGCACAAAGACATAATACCCTGTACCACAGTGTGGTGAAGGGTATAAAAATCGAATTCTGCGGTTGTTGTTGCAGTAGCCCTACTGTTTTTACCTAATGGTGTGTGTTACTATTTACACCCTCAGCTCCATTTCCTCTTCCATATAGCCCTTATCGAAAAAGTCGTCTCCATCGTGACCACACCTAATTTTGCAACCTTCTTAACTGACATTTATTTTTGTGCAGTAGTAAATTTAAAAGAAAACGAATGCAGAATATTGTATAAATTTATGTATGTATATTTATTACATTTTGCTTTTGAAATAATTTATTTAACAAATTAAATTTTCAAAACTTAATAAAATAGTAGTAGATTATGAATATGTAAACCTAAATCATACAAAGAATAATACAATAACTTTGTAATATTTAAAAATTACTAATACAAGGAAAACAATATAATTTTACTTAAACTAAATTTAGAAAAAAAGAGATATTTCAACTAAAACAATAACTGAAATAGTCGTGTTTTTACGACAATGGAATTCGTTTTACTTAATACAAATACAATTTGATTTAATATAGTTTCTCATGCAATAGTTTCCCTTCGCACAAGGGGGACATATAAAAATATGTGATTCACATGAAGTTACTCTGTTCATGATGTTTACAAACTACTCCCAATCGACATTAACTTGATCCCAGTCCTCCACAAACGGTTGGTCGATGGTTTCAATCATTAGACCACAATATACACAATCCGCCGCCAGAATTTCTTCAATTTCTTGCTTAACCTTCTCACGTTTATATTTCGATTCATTGGATTTATCTGCCATGGCAACAGATTGTGTTAATAAATTATCCAATTGTTGTTTTAACATTGTCAACTTGCGAGCTTGATCTGATGTTAGATGTGGTATAACTAGCTTTTCCAAACAATCTGCATGAAATTTATGACCACAAGAGAATACGAAAAATGGCTTGACCAGTAAAAATGTATCACAACCATTGCATTGTTCGTGTGCCTCAATGCGTATGCAATTTTCGCGTATATTTTGTAAATCACTTTGTACTCGTTCGGCTTGTTTGCTAACCTCTTCCATGTCGTGTTGTAGTTCTTGCAGTTTGTGATTGTATTCCTGGTGAAGAAAAAGATCAGATGAATGGTTTGTATTGGAGAGTATTTAAATAAAGAAAATCATACCTTCAGTGCCTGACAAATGGGTTCCTTGAAATCATCAATCTTTTCAAAATCTGAAAAGAATGGCAACAAATCTTCTATGTGCAACAATTCACATTCCTTCAGTAGGTCCAAAGCTTTCTTTACATCATTGGTGTCCTTGATTTCATGATAGGCTGTTAAAAATAAATAGGAATCAAATGAAATATAATAAATTAATAAACATTTTTCTACACACCAATTTTAAGCCACAGCTTTGTTTTAACTTTTTCATCTTTCGGTTTCGATGCGGTCTCTTTGGCCAATTTAATATCGAAGGTCAATGCCAAATCCACAGCTGCTGGCCATAGTTTACGCAATGAATATAAAAATACACATGCCACTTGTATATTAAAATCCATACACACCAATAGGGCATAATTAACATCGTAGTGTACCAAAGTAATATCTTGACCTTGATTTTCTAAATATTTCATAACTTTGTTCGGTTGATGTTCAGCATATAAACGTATTAGGAAATTATGTATGGCCTGATACGTCTCACCCAAATTATAAATACAATATTCCAAATATTTAATGATTTCCGAAATATGCAACGGCGAATCAATGGTGGTTATAGTTGGAATTAATTTTTGCACACTCAATTTACGACCCTGCAACATCATTAGTTCTATTGTCTCCTTGGGCAAATATTCAATTAGTGTCGGACAATATTTATAATATAATTCAATATTTTTTTGCTTCTGCAAGATATGCAGGGCTTCTAGATATTTCTCTGCCCCAATATGTTGCTGCAATACTTCATCATAATCTTCATTGGCTATGGCAAATTGTGCCAAATTGTGATCGTCTGCATGTTGGGCAATTAAATCTTGAATGGCGGCGCGATTTGCTCGATAACATTTGATGACTGAGAAATTCAACATAAACTCATCGTATTCCATTTGCCATTGTTTTTTCTCTTCCACTGTGCGTCCAGGATAATTGATTTCGGTTAAATAGAGATCTATTAACCAAGCCACCAATACAAACAGCTGTTCATCTGCTTCGGCTGGCAATGTTTCCATGCGCCGCTTTACATAAGTTATCATGGGCCGTTTTTCTTGCAGATCTATAAATTTTAAACACACCTCCTCGAATGGCATTTGTGTCTCGGCATATATTTTGGCGGCCTCAATATAATTCTTTTCATCAAAAGCTGCCTGAGCTTTAGTTTTTAATACCGCATTCAGGTTCTCCTCATTACCGGCAGCGTGGATTTCCGCCATTTCATATGAGCCCATATTTAAATAGATTTTCCAAATATTGCGTTGCTCTTCACTCACCTTAAAATTAAAAACCATTTTCTCGGTATAAAAATAAATATTACCCGTAAAAGGATCTTGAAAAATATTCAATAATTTTCCCATTTGTTCGTGGAAATATTCCTCATAGACCACCGATTGATCGAGCAAACAAATGCCAGTTATGTGATCATGATACATCAACAAAACATGATATTCGGTTAGGACAAATGCCCGCGAAACATTTAAACGTTTCTCTTCATATGACAAGTGGCGGCGTTGCTCCAAATCTTTATCCAATGGCACCAGTTCTTCGCCTATTAGAAATTTCTCATCTTTAATGGAATTTTGAGCAACCTACAAGACAAATAAATGAATTAAAGAAATATATATTGAAATTTTTAACATTTACAACTCACTTCTCCATGTCTCAAGCCTGAGCCACACAACCAACCCCATTGTGTGGGATATTTTTCATTGGGTTGAGCATAAAATTGTAATAAGGAATATTTGAGGTCAGTTTTGGCCACCTCATAACCATGCGATTGGGTACCATTTAAATAAGTGTTGAATATGGGTTGCAGTGTCCTCTCCTCCATTCGCAAATGGCCTTGAAATGTAAAAATACAGTCGGTAGCTGTGGCCACAACAATATATTGGCCCGCGGTATTGGGTACATGGCGAAACTCTAAGCCAGTTATGGCATATTTTGGCCGACCCAAACCCAAATCGTAGACCTGAAAAGAAATAAATAAAATTATTTTATTTAAATATGTGTGGAAATATATGTTTGTAGCAGCTCTTTTGTCAACCATTCATAACGTGAGATAACAAATCGTTTTGCGAGTTTTTTTGGTCTATGTATTACGCAAATCCCTCCTAACATGCCTCAGTGGAAGGGATCAGTTCTCCACATAATGGATTGAATGGTTATCGAGGCTAGTTTTTAATATTCTGTTTTCAAAATCTATAAGGTTTAATACCGTTACTGACTTCGTCCATAATGAATGGGTGGGCTTGATGGACCTTTGAAGAGTTGCCGTGCTGTGTATCGTGTCATAAATTCGAGCCTACCAGTAGCAGAACTACTGGTTTTACACACTCAGAGGTTACTGTTGTCGTAGCAGCCCTATCGATTTTACACAATGGACAGAGGTGACATACGTTGGTCGAGTAAGACGGTCGTTTCGGTTCGTAGACACCTCTGTCGCAGCTGCTTATACTGCTGTGTATTTTCTCTTTAATCTGGTCCTGCTTCTAACTCCAGGTTCAAAAAAGGCTGCAACCTGTACCGATTGTATTCAAGGTAAAAATCAGGTTAGATGAGTGGGTTTGGCTGGGCAGTTGAAAAAGTGCCGAGTAGGTATTGTCCACTATTAATTCGTGTCGAATATGAATCGACACCATCCAGATCTCAGTTGTACCAAGTTATTCTTCACTCTATATTCTTGAATTGCTTCCTCATCTACATCAGTGTGAATACAATTTAAACCTGCTTGATATGCCTGTTGATCTAGAGGATCCTCTTTTGTAGTACTGTAACTCTTTATCCAGATGATGAAGATCCTTACTATATTGCGAAGTAGACGGATGCCTATCTATAAGGTTATAGTTTGTATGGCTACTCGGAGTCGGTTTTGCATTCGGTTAGGTCCCATGTATGTCGTCCCTTCTCAAGACTGCAGTCCTGTGGTAGACTGTTTGTTACCAATCTTGACTAAATCATGTTCCATTAGAATTGCCAGGTCACCATCATTTATCGGGGTTAAACAATATGTACTTGTAGCAGGTACAGACAGCTACAGGCGCCAAGGCATCCACACCTAGAGCAGCCGTATCACAATCACTTTATTTCGACGATATGTGGATTGTGGTCCCACCAACGATTTCCGCCGGTACTGGGTTATTTACTCTCTGCACCGTAACTTTGTTTCTCCTGTTCTTTTTACCCATCTTAGTTAATTATTATCCTGGATCGGATTTACCCTGCACATCTTAGAAATTGAGAGAGGAGATTGCCAACTCCCTTCGGTTGATATTCTGATCGTTCTTCAAATGGGTTTCCATTGTTCTTATAAATGTGCATTCCATGCTGATAACCTATGGAAAGCCGGCCAGACTGGTGTATTATATGAGGGCAGCAGGATCTCTTTTTCAAAATCTATGTGATGCCGGTCAGACACTCAGGACCTTGTCGCAAACAACAGTGGCTTGTAGCTTTAAATATATTAAGAGCCTGCGTTCGGAATTAAATGACCAAATAGTGGACAGCGTGGCTGTGGGTTTAGTTTAGTAGATTTTCATATTTCTCAGGTGGAAGTAAATTTAATGGTTACCTTCGTGTGGTGCCGTTGATTTCGTATTGTACATTTTTGTAAGCCCAGCATGAAGGTCATGTGAATACAATTTACAATGTAACGAACTCAAGATGTTAATTATGTCTTCATGAAGTATCCGAAAGATCGACAATTCCATACAGCAGAAACTATTAGTATTTAGTTCGAAGAATGCATAATCAATGCCACGTTTGGATTTATTTTGATTGCTTCCTGATATTAAAATGAATGATAGACACTATAGTCAGGACCCATAAGTGTGATGATTTCTCTTTCTTCAACCAATCAATAGTTAAAAGAGTCCAATTAAATTGAATCCCCTTAAGAAATTTCAGGCATTCCTTTCATTCTCCTTCAATATATTACCTGTTTCCTATATAGCGGCTTATCAGCTTCCAGTGTCAGCTCCGTTTCAAATATCAGACCTTTACTGGTGCCCAATAATATCGGCCCGGTGGTAGATTCCGTACCCATTTCATAATTAAATGCCACCGATGTAATTTCATGATCTTTAAATTTCTCGATACGGCGAACTTTCGTACCACTGCCATGGATATAAAGGAAATCAGCCGACAAACCCGGTGATTTGGGTATTAAACTAATCAGTATATGATGACCCGTATAGTCCAGGAATAGTTCACCAATTTTATAGCCAGCCAAATATTTCTCCAATGAAATTTCTGTAAAAAAATCAAAAATTTCCCATTTAAAATAGTGGCATTAAAATATATTCCATCTCCATTACCCAATGGTGGCAAAGTTCTCAGCAGGAAAAATCGAAACAATGTAACTTGAGATGATGGCTGTGGTGCTGCCATAAGACAGACCAGCCAATTTTTACACACAGCCAAATGGAGTAGATTACCACTGTAGTCCTTGGGCAGACGTAGGGTCATCTTACGTTTGCTAAAAATGGGCGTATCACTGTTGTCTTTATCGCCTCCAGAAATTGTCGCCGGCAATGATGACACACTGGCAGTATCTCCTCCACCGCCAACGGATGTGAGAAATTTTGGCTTAGCCAATAACATTCGATCTGTTATATCCAAATCATCATCATTGTTGGCCATATTTTATATGGAATCGATTTAGTTTACAAATGTAGTTAATTTAGGAAACTGATTACTGAGTTTTTTCTTTTACGATTAAAAACAAGTATCTCTTCTTCTTCCTCTGTGTGTTGTTTGTGTATGTCACCGTTCTTTGTTTTATGACAGAACAGCTGATTGCAGCTGCTAGTGTTGTGTTTGAATAATTGTAAGTATTCGGTTAGTAAAGTGCGATTATCAAAATAAGGCATTTAGTTTTTGAAAATTAATTCAAATAGAAAATACAAAATAATTAAATATTCTGGAATGCAGTTTGAAATTTAGTAAATTCACACGCAGAATAAAAATGTAGTGAAGGAAAATACGACTCTGTATTATTTTTATTATTAATTTATTTATTTCAAATCCAAGTCAAAAGGCCTTGTGTGGCCAGCACTCTACTAAATAAACTTAAACATAAGCAATAGTATTTGCTTTCATATAACATAAGTTCAAGCTCCTTAATTATTCATTAAAAGTAATATAAGGTAAGTGCACCTATAGTCGGCAATTTAATTATTTTCTCATTTTAAACGTTTAACGTTCCCGAGAGCATTGTTTTTCACTATATTGTATTTAGGTTCAAATGTTTCCAAATTTTGTTTACTCCCCGTTTAATTAATTTGTATTAAAGTAAATTTGTAATGTGTAAATTTGTTAAAGTAGATCGATAATTAGGTAAAAAAGTGCCTTTGTGCAATAGTCGGAACTTTTTTCCAATTGTTGGCATGTCGTATTTTAGTTAAAGAAAAATTATTTATTTAATTAATTTTTATACCCTCCACCATAGTATGGAGGGTATATTAATTTTGTCATTCCGTTTGTAACTCATCGAAATAATCATTTCCGACCCTATAAAGTATATATATATATATATATATATGTTTTTGATCAGGGTAAAATTCTAAGACGATCTAGCCATTTCCGTCCCTCCGTCTGCTGTAATCACGCTATCTTCTGAAGGAATTAAAATAGATCGTCAAAATTTTGCATAGAGTCTTTTGTGTGCAGGCAGTTCAAGTTCGAAGATGGGCTATATCGGTCCACGTTTAGGCTATATCGGTCCACGTTGAGCGCGCTTTTCAAACGAAATTTGGTACATTGGGTTGTCTTTGGGTACCAAATCTCTCCACTACAAATTCGGTCCACTTTTTCTCTTAGCCACCATATAACGGTACCCCCATTAACGGTATTTTATGGGGTTTAAGCGCGTTTTTAAACCGAATTCGCTGAAATTTGGTACAATTGGTTCTTATTGGGTACCAAATTTCTTCACTAAAAATTATTAATATATGCCAATTTTTTCGGGTATCTCCCATATAAGACATCCTCAATTTTCGGTATTTTTAAGTTCTTGAGCGCGTTTTTCAACCGAATTCGTTGTAATTTGGTATTTTGTAGTCGCATGTGGTAACGAATCTTCATACCAATAATTATTAGTATATGCACCCATATAACCCCTTTCTTATTAAAATAGTTAGCTGTTTAGTTCTGCCATATAGGCATATTCTACCATAGTATAGGGTATAGTCGTTACTCGAAATAGTCAGTTTTAACTCACAAATTATGGAATTCTAAGATTTAGCCATCAATTGTAATCATTCCGCTTTCTAAGGAAATCGTGATAAAAAAACTCGAACCAGACGATAATGAAATATATCATTCCTGAAGGAAAGAATTTTTATTTTTAAATGATTTTAAATTCTAAAGTATTCTCCTCAGTCCTTTACAATTACGAAGAAAATTCTTGTGAAAAATATATAATTTTAATATAGTTACAAGACTTTTGAAATCGACATGCCCACTAATTTTTTCTTAAGAAACATGAATTATCGCTAGTGTTGACAATCCTCATTGATCCAATGCCAAATTTAGACAGAATAAGATTAAATTTTATACAGAGATAGATATTGAAGATTATTCAAGGGATTTTCATATTTAGTTATAGGAATTTTTAGTTATTTGAAATTTTATAAAACAGTTGCCGACTATTGGTACATGCCGGAATTAGGTGCGCTTACCCTACGTGATTTCTATTTTAATATTTGTTTTCTTTTTACAGAATTATAATTTATTTTATATAGGAAAAAAATAATCAAAAACAATATTTTAAAAGACTGTTCTTTTTTTACTTATAGATCCGCCTACGTATTTTCTTACAAAAAAAAAAAAAAAAAAAAACATGAATGTAAGTATGTATGAATAACTACGATTTACAAAATGTATTTTTCGCTGCAATTGCACGTTCTACATACTATTCTTTCGACTCAAAAATGTGTGTGAAACGCCATTACATTCTTTATAATTATGTGGCGATAAAGAACGACTTTAATCGACGCTATTGATGTTTATGGAACAAAATGGCAGCTACAGTTATAAAAAATGGATGTCATTTTTCATTATTATTCGAAAATACAAAAATGTCAATTAAAAATTCAAGTGAAATCTCCAAAAATTTTTGAAGATATTGCCTTTATGCGGCGAATGCTTTAGGTGGCATCAGTCAAACAACCGCAAACGTGATCGCTTTGAGAGTAATTTTTGTGTGAAAATCGCTAAAGAGCGGCTCTCTGCCTGTTCCTGCACTATAGGTCTTGCGGGCACGATTTCTGAAAAAATATTAGCTTATGCCCATTTTATGCTATGATACAAATCTGCATTCCCAGACAGACGGACATGGCTAAATCGGTATAGAAGTTTATACAGTGAAGTACGGTTTTAGCGAAGTTCTTTATTTCCAAGGTAAGGCAAAGCATAGGCTTATGAGATGAGAAGGAGACTTATTCCTCTATAGTTGGTACATATCATATTATCTCGTTTTTTTGCACGGAACATAGGATGCTGAGGTCCCAGTAATTGAGCTGGTGCATGCTCTTGACCAGCATTTGAATAACAGCCTTGAATAGTTCGGCTGGTAACCACGTGTTTTATTATACTTCGATTTATTGCTTTTCTAACCTTACCTGGGCTAGGTGGTATACACTATATACCATCATCTCTTATTGGTTCTGGGGCATTTTCTTAACCGCCACTATTTGATAACAGAAGCTTTTCAAAGTGCTCCTTCCAGATCCTCAACACGCTGTCTGTATCTGTCACTAGGTTTCTTTCTTCATCTCTACAGGAGGATGTGCCTGCACCAAAACCTACGTTGGTAAATTTTTCGGACTTCATTCTGACGCCTGTACATCTCTATTTGCTCACGTTTTTCTTGTTCTATCTTCTTTTTTCTGAAATTCTCCATCACATTACGTGTTGCTACTGTCTGCCCTATACGCTGCGTTTTTCACATCAGTAGCATTACGACACTCCTAATCGTACCATGGGTTTCTTGGTGGTGGTTTTTTATACCCAAGTGTTGCTTTTGCTGCAGTATGTAGGGAGTAGGCAATTCTTTGCCATTGTGCTTCTATACTATTATCGGGACAAGAATTGCTTTCTTCAAGCAGGTGGGTAAGTTGAGCGGAGTAGCCCTCGGCTACCTGTTGTGTTTGCAGCTTTTCGACGTCGAGTTTCCGTGTTGTGTTAGATCGCACCTTTTCTGCTACATTAAAACGGCCTTGTGTATACCGAGATGCTGCTGGTGCTGCTAACTACAATGTTTTATGCTGCCGCGAAGTAAATCAACCTCATGCCGCTGTCGGATGTTTCTTCATGTAGGCTGAATTTTCCGACGGTGGGGCCAAAGATATTTTCCCTTTCGATTTTTGCATTCAAATCTCTTAGCCGAATTTTAATGTCATGACCAAGGCAGCGGTCATATGCTATTTCTTAGCGTTCTTAAAAAAATGTCTTTGGTCTGCACATCTTTGTCTTCGGTCGGAGCATGGGCGCAAATGAGACTGATGTAGAACTTCGCTTTTATGCGGATTATAGAAATTCGCTCATCTTCTGAAGTGAATCTGGAGACGAAGTATTTTATTATCCTATTAACCGTAAATCCGCAGCCAAATTCACGCCTCGTTTCATGGCAGCTATAATACAGGGCGTAATAATCTAATTTACTTACGCCAGTCCCTTTCCATCGCATTTCCTGTAAGGCAATAACATCGGCTTTGTACTTCTTGAGTACATCCGCCAAGGCGACAACTGCGCCTGTTCTGTACAACGTGCGCACATTCCAAGTGCGCAAAGCGCAGATCGCGGTCCTTTGCGGGGGTCGTCAACATTAGGAGGGTTTTGGTTTTCATTTTCGTTGCTTTTTCATAGTAAGAGGGGTTTTCCGAGTGTGGGCAACTAACCCGACGCCTCAACCCATTTTTTATAGTTCTTATGGGTGAACTCGCGGCACATATCAGCTCACTTTTTCAATGGATGATGAAAATAGTTACCCCAGGTGACACCGCGGGGAGGTCAGTGTCCACAATTGAGATGAAAGAGGGACCAAGATAAGCCTGGGCTTCGCCATGTAAAAGCCAATCAGATATCCTATCATCTCCTACGTCACCCTTACAAATTTAGTAATTATGGTACATTTCACACCTTTTTGATAAGAAAATCGTCTCCTTATCTCCTAATGATACTAGCACCCTCAACCTATTGCACCAAATTTTGCAAAGAACGAAGTAGTACCCAAACAAAGTGTAGCGCACACATGGAAATGGAAAGTATTCAACGTTGACAACAATAACATTGAAACGAATGCAAAAATTGTTTACCGCAAGTCAGTTAACAATTAACTGGCAATACAACAAGTCTGCAGGCTAATTAAGCTCCAAAGTAAATCGATAATAATACCAACATACTACCAATTTATTGAAACAAACTCGAAACCCTATACCACTAACAAATGCAGTGAGAAATTGCAACAATTGTACGGTATTTTTTGCGTGAACGGCAAATGTAAACAAAACGGAAATAATAGTGGGAAAAGCAAATATAACAACAACTCTCCAACACCGGTAATTACAGAGAGACCGAAGTGTAAGAGCAGGGGTAGAGAGTGTGTTATTCATTCATGCCTTTTAACTACCAAACCCACA